TTAACCACATTTCATGAACTATGGTTCCCTCTGGAAAAACAAAAACGTTTTCTTTGGCATCCTGTGGCCTCTCATCCTAAAGTTTGTAAATGACCCATACTGTTCAAACCGGCTGCCTCACTAGCTTTTGATGCCAGCCACTTTAGAGCACACACCAGAAAGATCAATACAACCCCTACGTAAGTGATAGAGCACCGTGCTCTCAAAGGCTGTTAGACTCTCCGATAAAGAACAGCTTGACAGATGCAGTGAAACTAAGCAGCGTGCACAAAACCCCAGTAAAGAGGCTGTAGGGATGCAGTCTTGTCTCTCTGCATGGTAGACTGATGCATGCAGTATGATACAAGATGCGCTGAGACGCATGTCCTGCCACATGTGTGCGTTCACGAGTCTGTGGCCTATGAAAACATGGGGAGAGTCTAACAAAGGATGGGAAAAGAATGGAGCCTTTTTCAAAGAAGCCTGCTACAGAGAATTATGACAAGGGAGACATAACAGGGCCCAGTGTAAACTTGACAGAGAGGGAATGTTCAATTACATATTTTTTAGGCAATATCCTAATTTCCTGAAAACACTCTGGATCACAATGAGTCGGTCTCTCTCTTCTGTTACTGAAATTCCACCACATTGGTTATTGAGGAAATGTGATGGACATGTTGTTTGAGTTTCCTGCTTATGTAATAAAACTGAATGTGTGATGATGTTCACTGTGTCTCCTTTACTTTGCTATCCTGGCAGAAGGGCTTCTAACCCAAGATGATGCCCATACTGAAGCTGGGGAAAGGATGCAAAGACAAAGAGTATGGGCAGGCAGATGTAAATCCATCCTTTGTCTCATCACATAGGTAGTAGTATTTCTAGCAAGGGTAACCAGTAGTAAAATTCTAACCAAGGGTCATTGATGGGGAAGTATACCAATTTTCTAACCAAGAGTTTTTTAAAAATGCATAAACTATGAAATAAAAAGATAATTTTAAAGACTTAGACACAAGAAAATTGTCAGAAATTGTTTAGTGAGGACTCCAGCTTATGTGATAATATACCTCAGTTTACTGAGCCCTTCCAAAGTGTGCTAAACTGGACTTCTGGTTTCTAGTCTGGTCTGTAAGGAGTCTGAAAGTCATCACTTCATTCTAACAAGTAAAAAGCTTAAGGAGCAATATGAACAACCCTACACACACAAATTTGTTAATCAAGATGAATGGACCAGTTTCTTGAAAGGTGCAATCTATCAGCACTCACAGAAGAGAAAGCAGACAATCTGAACAGGCCCATATTTATTCAAGAAACTGGATCAATAATTAATAACCTTCTGAAAAAGAAAGCACCAGGCCCAGATGAGGTCACTCATGAATTCTACTAAACATTTAGGGAAGAAATTATACTGGTTGTCTAGAATTTCTTGTGGAAGATAGAAGTAGATGAAATATTTCCTAATTCCATCTATTAAGAAACCAAACAAAAACATAACAACAATAGAAAATTACAGACAATACCTTTCAAGAATATAGATGCAATAATCCTCAACAAAATATTAGCAAATCAAATCCAACAATGTATAACAAGAATTTTACACTATGACCAAGTGGGATTTATTCTAGATGCAAAGCTGATTCAACATCCAAAAATCAAATTAACGTAACCCATCACACCAACAAGCTACAGAAGAAAAATCACCTCATCATATTAGCAGATGCAGAAAATGTCTTTTACAAAACCCAATTCCATTCATGATGAAAACTTAGCAAACCAGAAATTGAGAACACCATCCTCAGCTAAAAAGCATTTAAAAATCTACAGTTAATATCTTACTTAATGGTGAGAAACAATAAGCTTTCTCCCCAAGAACAGGAGAAAGGCAAGTATATCCCCTCTAATTACCCTTTTTCAATATCATACTGGATGCCCTAATTAATGCAACAAGACAAGAAAAGGAAATAGATCATATACAAATTGTGAAGGAAGAAATGAACTGTACTTGGTAACAGATGACATGACTGTCTATGTAGAAAGTCTAAGAGAATCAACAAAAATACTCCTGGAACCAAAAAGCAGTTAGAGCAAGGTTGTAGCTTATGAGGTGGATATACAAAAGTCAATTGCTTTCTTATATACTGGGATTGAAAAACTAATTTGAAAAAATAAAAAAACCCCAAAAGTCAAAGCCACTCATATTAACATTCCCCAAAAGAAATAGATATAAACATAACAAAATATGTACAAGATCTACAGAAGGTAAACTATAAAATCCTGAGGAAAGAAATCAAAGAACTAAATAAATGGAGACATATCCCACATTCACGGATAGGAAGACACAATACTGTTAAGATGTCAATTCTTCCAAACTTGATCTATAGATTCATTGCAATGCCAATGAAAATCCCAGCAAGCTATGTATGGATATTGACAAACTGATTCTAAAGTTTACATGAAAAGACAAAAGAATCAGAAAAAGCCAATACAACATTAAAGGGGAAAAAAAATGGAGGACAGACATTTCACTCAACTGATGGTGCTAGAACAACTGGATCCACATGCAAAAAACTGAATCCAGACACAATCTTTATACACTTCACAAATACTAACTCAAAACAGGTCATACACCTAAAGGGAAAATGCAAAATTAAAACACTCCTAAAAGATAACACAAGAGGAAATCTAGATGACTTTGAGTTTGGTGATAGTGTCTCAGATATAACACAAAAGGTGCAATCCATGAAGCTGGACTTCTTAAAAATTAAAATTTCTCTGCAACTGACACCATCAAGAGAACAAGAAAATAAGCCATTCTAAAAGACATGGTTAAATGCTATTACCCAAAATATAAAAAGAAATTTTAAGACTTAAGAAAGGCACAACTGATTAAAAACGGGAACTTCATCAGCAAATATATACCAGTGACAAAAATGCATATGAAAAGATGCTAAATATATGTCCTTAGGGAACTGCAGATTGAAACAAGACACATTGTACCTGTTAGAAAGGCGAAAATCCAAAACACTGACACCACCAAATGTTGGCAAGGATGTAGAACAATAGGAACTCTTACTAGTTGCTGATGGCATGCAAAATGGTAGGGTCACTTTGGAAGGTAGTTTGGCATTTTCTAACAAAAGTAAACATACTCTTACATATGATCTAGCCATTGCATTCTTTAATATTTACTCAAAGGAGCAGAAAACTTACATCCACACAAAAACCTGTACGTGAATGTTTAAAGCTTTATTCATAGCTTCCAAAACTTGGCATCAACTAAAATGTCCTTCAGCAGGCAAATGGATAAACAACGGTACATTCAGACACCAGAACACTATTCAGCATTAAAAGCAACTGAGCTATCAGGCCATGAAAGGATATGGAAGAACCTCACAGGCAAATTACTGCATAAAAGAAGCCAATCTGAAAAGGCTACTTACTGTACAAGTCCAACTATACAACATTCTAGGAAATACCAAACTATAGAGATAGTTATGGATGGGTGGTTGCCAGGAGTTGAGTGGAGGAGGAATGAAGAGGAGCAGACGGGAATTTTAGGGAAATAAAACTATTCTGAAGGATACTATAGTAGTGGGTTTATGTCAGTACACATCTGTCAAAAACTGTAGAATGTACAGCACCAACAGTAAACCCTAATTTGAAAAATGGGCTTTGCACGAAAAGACGCATCAATGTAGTTTCACTGAAAGTAACACATGTACAATTTTGGTGTGAGATATTGATAGTGAGGGAGGCTATGTATGGGAAGTAATGAGAATTCTCCACTTTCCTCTCAATTTTGCTACGAATCTAAAATTTCTCTTAAAAATAACGTCTATTTTTAAAAATGTGCTAGGCATTTGATGAGATTGAGTAGAAAATATGTCTCTAACAGACCAAAAAAAAAAGTCTTGTGTCAGTGAATGGAATACTTTTTTAAGGATAAATATTATGTTGAAGCACAGCACAATTTAATTAAGGAATCTGGAAGACAATTTGTGGTGAAAGCTTTGGAGAGTAAGCTTTATAAATGTATGTAGAAACTAGTGGTGATGGTGGTTTAGTTGCCAAATTGTGCCCGACTCTTGCAACCCCATGGACTGTAGTCTGCCAGGCTCCTCTGTCCATGGGATTCTCCAGGCAAGAACACTGGAGTGGGTTGCCATTTCCTTCTCCAGGGGATCTTCCCAACCCAGGGATCAAACCTGGGCCTCCTGTGTTGCAGGCAGACTCTTTACCGACTGAGCTACAAGGGAAGTAGCAGTGATTCTGAAGTCAATAGAAACGTTTTTGGTAAGTTTTAAGGATCATTTTTTTTTCCCTTTTTGCTCTTCAGGAAAAATGTTTAGGGAGACTACTGTTGCAAGACTTACATTTAGACAAGGCTTAACCATGTGTGAAGTTTTTCATTTAGATTCATTTCTGCAAGAATGCTAAAAGAATAGTGTGATATTCTTGCCCCCTCACCAAGAAGTGGGGTGGAGGTTCTGCCAAGGAAGAATGTGTGAGACTGCTGGGCAGTGAAAGAAAGAGGCTGAAGAAGTCCTCACCATGGTGGGGTTACCGAAGGCCAGGCCTGAGTGAGACAAGTCGGGCAGTCGGTCCAGCCTGTTGACCACGTTGGGAAGGAGCCCAGGTGCAGGTCTGGCTACTGGGGCCTTGCCTCTGGGTGTTCTTGGGTCCATCTGTTGTTGAGCCTTCCCTGGCATCTGTGTGGCCCACGGGGGCACCAGGGAGGATAGGTAGGTGACCTTCAGTCCCAGGCTGGGTGGAAGTTCTGTGAATGGGACCCAGACATGTCTCCAGGCTAATCATCCAATCTACTTCCCAAGTGTATCTGATTGTGTGCTCTGAAGAATCACCAGATAATTGTCCACACCATGAAGATGGGTAGGAGGGCACATAAACGGGTAGGAGAGCAATAGAGCTGGAATAGAGGGCATGTTTGGGGAAAGGGGGTCCCTGCAGGGCACAGGAGCACGCGGACGTGGATGGGAGCCAGGATAGGGACTGCTCTGCCAAAGTCATGCCCACAGTCTCGGGGCTGCCTTCACCCACAGGGCCCGGAATTCCCCGCGTGGGGCCCTCCCTGATCCACCTGCCCATGTGGTAGCAGCGGGCAGGTGCATGGCCCAGGCGTCGGCCAGGTGGGCCAGCAGCAAGTGGAACAGGTACAGGTGGGTGTGCTTGTCCCAGTCGGTGCTGCCCCACGTGTCGGCAGTGGACAGGGAGGTCCAGCACGTCTCAGCCGTGCCGCCAGCCGCCACAGTGCTGCAGAAGTTGGCCTCCAGCACATCGGCCCGCAGGCAAGTGCCTCAGGTCGGTCCTCAGGAGGGAGGAAGCCCCCAGAGACCACCTCAGCTCCTGGCATGACGGTGTTCCACACCAGGCGGCAGTCCTTGGGCAGCACCCGGTCCAGGTGCCCGACCTGGTTCTGCAGGTCTTCCTGGTAGCTCCTCGGGAAGTCCCGGCCATCCGCTGAGAGGTCTCAGAGACAGGAGATGAGGACCAGCACGTCCAGGGCTTACTCGTCCCGCTGCATTTGCTCCAGGATGTCCTCCACATACCGGGAGCAGGCGCGCGAGGAAGTAGAACAGCACCAGGCGGTGACCAGCGCAGAACGGGCACATCTCGCGTAGCGGGTGCAGTGGTGCAGGCCCTCCCATTGGCAACCCTCCAGCCGCGTGTGGTGCTCGAAACTCAGCTCGCCCTTGGCCTTCAGCTGGCTGGAAGACGGCAAGCAGTCCTTCTGCAGAGGGAGCACCAGGTCCTTGTACACGGAGTCCCCCACGATCACCACGAACTTGTGCAGCAGCTGCGGGACTTCGCAAGCCCGCAGGTGGGCCATGAGGCCAGAGGGTGTTGCGAGAGGCAGAGCTTCTGCCTTTGCTCAGGGAGGTGGGAGGAGAGCTCAGGAAAGTGTGGATGCGCCCGGAGAGGGCGGTGCGCCTTCCTGCCCGTACGGGGGTCCCAGCAGCGAGGAGGAAGCAGGCCTCCCTCCTGGCATGGCTCCCCGGAGTCTGCCTTGGCCGGAGCTAGTTTTGGCCAGGCAACCTGACCTCTGACCCCCGAAAGCTCCAGGGCGGGACCCAGGCTCCACCTGGTGGAAGGGTGGTGGGAACCCCAGTGGGTATGAGTCCTGCTCCATTGCAAGAAACACTCTTTTTATTTATTTATTTTTTCATTTATTTTTATTAGTTGGAGGCTAATTACTTTTACAACATTGTAGTGGTTTTTGCCATACATTGACATGAATCAGCCATGGATTTACATGTGTTCCCCATCCCGATCCCCCCTCACGCCTCCCTCCCCATCCCATTCTTCTGGGTCTTCCCAGTGCACCAGCCCTGAGCACTTGTCTCATGCATCCAACCTGGGCTGGTGATCTGTTTCACCCTTAATAGTGTATTTGTTTCAATGCTATTCTCTCAGAACATCCCACCCTCGCCTTCTCCTGCAGAGTCCAAAAGTCTGTTCTGTACATCTGTGTCTCTTTTTCTGTTTTGGATATAGGGTTATCGTTACCATCTTTTTAAATTCCATATATATGCGTTAGTATACTGTATTGGTTTTTATCTTTCTGGCTTACTTCACTCTGTATAATGGGCTCCAGTTTCATCCATCTCATTAGAACTGATTCAAATGAATTCTTTTTAATGGCTGAGTAATATTCCATGGTGTATATGTACCATAGCTTCCTCATCCATTCGTCTGCTGATGGGCATCTAGGTTGCTTCCATGTCCTGGCTATTATAAACAGTGCTGCGATGAACATTGGGGTGCACGTGTCTCTTTCAGATCTGGTTTCCTCAGTGTGTATGCCCAGAAGTGGGATTGCTGGGTCATAAGCAGTTCTATTTCCAGCTTTTAAAGGAATCTCCACACTGTTCTCCATAGTGGCTGTACTAGTTTGCATTCCCACCAACAGTGTAAGAGGGTTCCCTTTTCTCCACACCCTCTCCAGCATTTATTGCTTGTAGACTTTTGGATAGCAGCCATCCTGACTGGCGTGTAATGGTACCTCATTGTGGTTTTGATTTGCATTTCTCTGATAATGAGTGATGTTGAGCATCTTTTCATGTGTTTGTTAGCCATCTGTATGTCTTCTTTGGAGAAATGTCTGTTTAGTTCTTTGGCCCATTTTTTGATTGGGTCATTTATTTTTCTGGCATTGAGCTGCAGGAGTTGCTTGTATATTTTTGAGATTAATCCTTTGTTGCTTCATTTGCTATTATTTTCTCCCATTCTGAGGGCTGTCTTTTCACCTCGCTTATAGTTTCCTTTGCTGTGCAAAAGCTTTTCAGTTTAATTAGGTTCCATTTGTTTATTTTTGCTTTTATTTCCAATATTCTGGGAGGTGGGTCATAGGGGATCCTGCTGTGATTTATGTTGGAGAGTGTTTTGCCTATGTTCTCCTCTAGGAGTTTTATAGTTTCTGGTCTTACATTTAGATCTTTAATCCATTTTGAGTTTATTTTTATGTATGGTGTTAGAAAGTGTTCTAGTTTCATTCTTTTACAAGTGGTTGACCAGTTTTCCCAGCACCACTTGTTAAAGAGGTTGTCTTTTTTCCATTGTATATTCTTGCCTCCTTTGTCGAAGATAAGGTGTTCATAGATACATGGATTTATCTCTGGGCTTTCTATTCTGTTCCATTGATCTATATTTCTGTCTTTGTGCCAGTACCATACTGTCTTGATGACTGTGGCTTTGTAGTAGAGCCTGAAGTCAGGCAGGTTGATTCCTCCAGTTCCATTCTTCTTTCTCAAGATTGCTTTGGCTATTCAAGGCTTTTTGTATTTCCATACAAATTGTGAAATTATTTGTTCTAGTTCTGTGAAAAACACCATTGGTAGCTTGATAGGGATTGCATTGAATCTATAGATTGCTTTGGGTAGTATAGTCATTTTCACAATATTGATTCTTCCAATCCATGAACACGATATATTTCTCCATCTATTTGTGTCCTCTTTGATTTCTTTCATCAGTGTTTTATAGTTTTCTATGTATAGGTCTTTTGTTTCTTTAGGTAGATATACTCCTAAGTATTTTATTCTTTTTGTTGCAATGGTGAATGGTATTGTTTCCTTAATTTCTCTTTCTGTTTTCTCATTGTTAGTGTATAGGAATGCAAGGGATTTCTCTGTGTTAATTTTATATCCTGCAACTTTACTATATTCATTGATTAGCTCTAGTAATTTTCTGGTAGAGTCTTTAGGGTTTTCTATGTAGAGGATCATGTTGTCTGCAAACAGCGATATTTTTTAATGAATTTTGATTGGAGTGTAGTTGCTTTAGAATGTTGTGTTAGTTTCTGCTGTAAGCAGAGTGAATCAGCTATACAGATAAGTATATTCCCTCTGTTTTTGATTTCCTTCCCATTTAGGTCCCATTTGCTTCCCACAGAGATACAGTAGGTTCTCATTAGTTATCTATTTTATACATGTTGTGCTATGCTCTGTCCGTGGGGATTCTCCAGGCAAGAATACTGGAATGGATTGCCATGCCCTCTTCCAGGGGATCTTCCCAATCCAAGGAGTGAAGCCAGGCCTCCCACATTGCAGGCAGATTCTTTACCATCTGAGCCGCCAGGGAAGCCCACACTGTTTTGCACATGTTAGTGTGTATATGTCAATCCCAATTTCCCAATTCATCCCAGCCCCCTTTCCCCCTTGGTATCCGTACATTTGTTCTCTATGTCTGTGTCTCCTTTTCTGCTTTGCAAATAAGTTCATCTGTATAATTTTTCTAGATTCCACATATAAGTGATATTATATGATATTTGTTTTTTCCCTTTAAGACTTAGTTCACTCTGTATGATAGTGTCTATGTCTATCCATATCTCTGCAAATGGCACAGTTTCTTCCTTTTTATAGCTGAGTAATAGTCTATTGTATATATATACCATGACCACAACCATGAAATTAAAATATGCTTGCTCCTCGGAAGGAAAGTTATGACAAACCTAGACAGCATATTAAGAAGCAGAGACATTACTTTGCCAAAAAGGTCCATCTAGTCAAAGCTATGGTTTTTCCAATAGTCATGTATGGATGTGAAAGTTGGACTATAAAGAAAGCTGAGCACCGAAGAATTGATGCTTTTGAACTATGGTGTTGGAAAAGACTCTTGAGAGTTCCTTGAACTGCAAGGAGATCCAACCAGTCCATTCTAATGGGAATCAGTCCTGAATATTTATTGGAAAGATATGTTGAAGCTGAAACTCCAATACTTTGGCCACCTGATGCAAAGAACTGACTCATTTGAAAAAGACCCTGATGCTGGGAAAGATTGAAGGCAGGAGGAGAAGGGGATGACAGAGGATGAGATGGTTGGATGGCATCACCGACTCAGTGGACATGGGTTTGAGTAAGTTCCGGGAGTTGGTCATCTGTATGCTTTCTTTGCACACATATGTGTTTAGGTCTTTCACCCATTTTTGATTGGATTGTTTGGTTTTTTGATATTGAGCTGCATGAGCTATTGGTATATTTTGGAGATTAATCCCATGTCAGTTGCTTCATTTGCAGACATTTCTCCCATTCTGAGATCTGTCTTTTCGTCTTGTCTATGGTTTCCTTTGGGCTTACCTGGTGGCTCAGACCATAAAGAATCCACCTGCAATGTGGGAGACCTGGGTTGATCCCTGGGTTGGGAAGATCCCCTGGAGAAGGGAAAGCCTACCCACTCCGGTATTCTTGCCTGAAGAATCCCCATGGACAGAGGAGCCTGGCAGGCTGCAGTCCATGGGTCGCAAAGAGCAGGACACAACTGAGCAACTAAGCGCAGCACATGGTTTCCTTTGCTGTGCAAAAGCTTTTATGTTTAATTAGATCCCATTTGTTCATGGTTGCTTTTAAGCGTTCTTTTTCAATGGATCTGTGTTTGCTTTCTAATATCTCGATCATGGATTGCTATTATTCTGCACTTTTTGTCACATCTAATCCACTGTTCGTTCTCTGTTTCACCAGTATGTCAACCATGGGGCCTATGGTCACAGCTGGGATGCCTCTCTTTGCCCCTGCTCTTGTTTTCTGTATGCCTTCCTGAGAATTTCTTTATTGCTGGCTTGGTCCTCTTTTTGTCCTGCCACTTCTTATACTGGAGGTATTTGGGGAATGTCTCTGCTGGGGAAGAGATCATGTCCAGCCAGGGTTCCTAAGCAATGATTGGAAGACTAGTAGGAGAGTTCAACTCTAGTTTTTTTTTTTTTAAATCAAACCACTTATTGTCACCTCATCATATATTCTCATGCACTTAGAAGAAATAATGCAGAGATTTTCGTATACTTGTGTACTCTTTACTCACTTCCCTCTATGGATAACTCCTCCTGTGCCTTTCCGTAAATGCCTAATAGTTGCTAAACTGTCCTGAATTTCAAGTGTGTGTGTGTGTGTGTGTGTGTGTGTGTGCGCGCGCGCGCGCGCACGCGCATGCGCGCATGTGCATGCTCAGTCACGTCTGACTCTTTGCAACCCTATGGACTGTAACCTATCAGCTCTTCTGTCCATGAAATTCTCGCAGCAAGAATACGGGAGTGGATTGCCATTTCCTCCTCCAGGGGATCTTCCTGACCCCGGGATCAAACCCAGGTCTCTTGCATTGGCAGGCAGATTCTTTACCACTGTGCCACCTGGGAGTCCTCCCATTTCAAGAATTCTATATAAATAGATCGTAGAGAATATAACTGTAGGGAATCGACTTTTTCCCTCTACATCATTCTCTGATTTTCATAAACCCTGTAGGTTTATAAGCCCTATAATGTTTTCATTAGAATATTAGTTTTCCAGTGCTACAAATGTATCAATATTCTGTTCCCTTTTTATTTGCTGAGTACTTTTCTATGGT